CTGCCCTGCTCACAGAGCCCTGCCCCCCCACCCCTGCCCTGCTCACAGAGCCCTGCCCCCCACCCCTGCCCTGCTCACAGAGCCCTGCCCCCCCACCCCTGCCCTGCTCACAGAGCCCTGCCCCCCCCACCCCTGCCCTGCTCACAGAGCCCTGCCCCCCCACCCCTGCCCTGCTCACAGAGCCCTGCCCCCCCCACCCCTGCCCTGCTCACAGAGCCCTGCCCCCACCCCTGCCCTGCTCACAGAGCCCTGCCCCCCCCACCCCTGCCCTGCTCCCAGAGCCCTGCCCCCACCCCTGCCCTGCTCACAGAGCCCTGCCCCCCACCCCTGCCCTGCTCACAGAGCCCTGCCCCCCCAAACCCATCCCCTGCCCTGCTCACAGAGCCCTGCCCCCCCCACCCCTGCCCTGCTCACAGAGCCCTGCCCCCACCCCTGCCCTGCTCACAGAGCCCTGCCCCCCACCCCTGCCCTGCCCCCACCTCTGCCCTGCTCACAGAGCCCTGCCCCCCCACCCCTGCCCTGCTCACAGAGCCCTGCCCCCCCACCCCTGCCCTGCTCACAGAGCCCTGTCCCCCACCCCTGCCCTGCTCACAGAGCCCTGCCCCCCCACCCCTGCCCTGCTCACAGAGCCCTGCCCCCCACCCCTGCCCTGCTCACAGAGCCCTGCCCCCACCACTGCCCTGCTCACAGAGCCCTGTCCCCCACCCCTGCCCTGCTCACAGAGCCCTGCCCCCGCAACCCCTGCCCTGCTCACAGAGCCCTGTCCCCCACCCCTGCCCTGCTCACAGAGCCCTGTCCCCCACCCCTGCCCTGCTCACAGAGCCCTGCCCCCCCACCCCTGCCCTGCTCACAGAGCCCTGTCCCCCCCACCCCTGCCCTGCCCCCCACCCCTGCCCTGCTCACAGAGCCCTGCCCCCCCCACCCCTGCCCTGCCCCCCACCCCTGCCCTGCTCACAGAGCCCTGTCCCCCCCACCCCTGCCCTGCCCCCCACCCCTGCCCTGCTCACAGAGCCCTGCCCCCCACCCCTGCCCTGCTCACAGAGCCCTGTCCCCCCCACCCCTGCCCTGCTCACAGAGCCCTGCCCCCCCCACCCCTGCCCTGCTCACAGAGCCCTGTCCCCCACCCCTGCCCTGCTCACAGAGCCCTGCCCCCACCCCTGCCCTGCTCACAGAGCCCTGCCCCCCCAACCCCTGCCCTGCTCACAGAGCCCTGCCCCCCCCACCCCTGCCCTGCTCACAGAGCCCTGCCCCCACCCCTGCCCTGCTCACAGAGCCCTGCCCCCCCCACCCCTGCCCTGCCCCCCACCCCTGCCCTGCTCACAGAGCCCTGTCCCCCACCCCTGCCCTGCTCACAGAGCCCCGTCCCCCCCACCCCTGCCCTGCCCCCCACCCCTGCCCTGCTCACAGAGCCCTGCCCCCCACCCCTGCCCTGCTCACAGAGCCCTGTCCCCCACCCCTGCCCTGCTCACAGAGCCCTGTCCCCCACCCCTGCCCTGCTCACAGAGCCCTGCCCCCACCCCTGCCCTGCTCACAGAGCCCTGCCCCCCCAACCCCTGCCCTGCTCACAGAGCCCTGCCCCCCCCACCCCTGCCCTGCTCACAGAGCCCTGCCCCCACCCCTGCCCTGCTCACAGAGCCCTGCCCCCCCCACCCCTGCCCTGCCCCCCACCCCTGCCCTGCTCACAGAGCCCTGTCCCCCACCCCTGCCCTGCTCACAGAGCCCTGTCCCCCCCACCCCTGCCCTGCCCCCCACCCCTGCCCTGCTCACAGAGCCCTGCCCCCCACCCCTGCCCTGCTCACAGAGCCCTGTCCCCCCCACCCCTGCCCTGCTCACAGAGCCCTGCCCCCCCAACCCCTGCCCTGCTCACAGAGCCCTGTCCCCCACCCCTGCCCTGCTCACAGAGCCCTGTCCCCCACCCCTGCCCTGCTCACAGAGCCCTGTCCCCCCCACCCCTGCCCTGCCCCCCACCCCTGCCCTGCTCACAGAGCCCTGCCCCCACCCCTGCCCTGCTCACAGAGCCCTGTCCCCCCCACCCCTGCCCTGCTCACAGAGCCCTGCCCCCCCAACCCCTGCCCTGCTCACAGAGCCCTGCCCCCCCACCCCTGCCCTGCTCACAGAGCCCTGTCCCCCCCACCCCTGCTCTGCTCACAGAGCCCTGCCCCCACCCCTGCCCTGCTCACAGAGCCCTGCCCCCCCACCCCTGCCCTGCTCACAGAGCCCTGCCCCCCCACCCCTGCCCTGCTCACAGAGCCCTGCCCCCACCCCTGCCCTGCTCACAGAGCCCTGCCCCCCACCCCTGCCCTGCCCCCCACCCCTGCCCTGCTCACAGAGCCCTGCCCCCCCACCCCTGCCCTGCTCACAGAGCCCTGCCCCCCACCCCTGCCCTGCTCACAGAGCCCTGCCCCCCCACCCCTGCCCTGCTCACAGAGCCCTGCCCCCCCAACCCATCCCCTGCCCAGAGCCCTGCCCCGCCACCCCTCCCCTGCCCAGAGCCCTGCCCCCCACCCCTGCCCAGAGCCCTGCCCCCCCACCCCTCCCCTGCCCAGAGCCCTGCCCCCCAACCCCTCCCCTGCTCACAGAGCCCTGCCCCCCACCCCTGCCCAGAGCCCTGCCCCCCCACCCCTCCCCTGCCCAGAGCCCTGCCCCCCAACCCCTCCCCTGCCCAGAGCCCTGTCCCCTCAACCCCTCCCCCTGCCCAGAGCCCTGCACCCCAACCCCTCCCCTGCCCAGAGCCCTGTCCCCCCAACCCCTCCCCTGCCCAGAGCCCTGCCCCCCAACCCCTCCCCCGCCCAGAGCCCTGTCCCCCCAACCCCTCCCCCGCCCAGAGCCCTGCCCCCCAACCCCTCCCCCGCCCAGAGCCCTGCCCCCCAACCCCTCCCCTGCCCAGAGCCCTGTCCCCCAACCCCTCCCCTGCCCAGAGCCCTGTCCCCCAACCCCTCCCCTGCCCAGAGCCCTGCCCCCCAACCCCTCCCCTGCCCAGAGCCCTGCCCCCCAACCCCTCCCCCTGCCCAGAGCCCTGCACCCCAACCCCTCCCCTACCCAGAGCCCTGTCCCCCCAACCCCTCCCCTGCCCAGAGCCCTGTTCCCCCAACCCCTCCCCTGCCCAGAGCCCTGTCCCCTCAACCCCTCCCCTGCCCAGAGCCCTGCACCCCAACCCCTCCCCTGCCCAGAGCCCTGCACCCCAACCCCTCCCCCTGCCCAGAACCCTGCCCCCCAACCCCTCCCCTGCCCAGAGCCCTGCACCCCAACCCCTCCCCCTGCCCAGAACCCTGCCCCCCAACCCCTCCCCTGCCCAGAGCCCTGCACCCCAACCCCTCCCCTGCCCAGAGCCCTGTCCCCTCAACCCCTCCCCCGCCCAGAGCCCTGTTCCCCCAACCCCTCCCCTGCGCAGAGCCCTGTTCCCCCAACCTCTCCCCTGCCCAGAGCCCTGCCCCCCCAACCCCTGCCCAGAGCCCTGTCCCCTCAACCCCTCCCCCACCCAGAGCCCTGCCCCCCAACCCCTCCCCTGCCCAGAGCCCTACACCCCAACCCCTCCCCCTGTGTCAGGAAGCCAGAACCCAGGGCCCCACCAGCGCCCCTGGCGCAAGGCATTCTGTGAGGACCCGGGGCCCTGTTGCCTGGGATCGGCAGGCTGGCCTCTCTCCCTGCCTGTCTGCACACAGCCAGTTCTTAAGCTCCCAGAGCTCAGTGTGGGGAAGGGGCCAGGGAACTCTGGGTTGGGGAAACCAGGACTTGCGGGCCTGTCGCTTCCTGCCCGGGAAGTGTGTGGCTAACAGGGGAAGAGAAGCCAGCACCCCTAGCTGGCCTCTTCTTCACCCCTGCCAAGTCCAGGCTCCACTTTGATTCTGCACTGCAGTCCAGGTGAGAGGTCTGTGGTAGTGGCTGAGTCCTCACCAAGCCCCAGCCTCTCCCCAGCCCCCACTCCCCAGAGGGGACCCCAGAGCCTGAGCCTCACAGCCCCAGCCCCTCCCCAGCCCCCCACGCCCCAGAGGGGACCCCAGAGCCTCAGCCTCACAGCCCCAGCCCCTCTCCAGCCCCCCACGCCCCAGAGGGGACCCCAGAGACTCAGCCTCACAGCCCCAGCCCCTCCCCAGCCCCCCACGCCCCAGAGGGGACCCCAGAGCCTCAGCCTTACAGCCCCAGCCCCTCCCCAGCCCCCCATGCCCCTGGGGGGACCCCAGAGCCTCCGCCTCACAGCCCCAGCCCCTCCCCAGCCCCCCACACCCCTGGGGGGACCCCAGAGACAGCCTTACAGCCCCAGCCCCTCCCCAGCCCCCCACACCCCTGGGGGACCCCAGAGCCTCAGCCTCACAGCCCCAGCCCCTCCCCAGCCCCCCACGCCCCAGAGGGGACCCCAGAGCCTCAGCCTCACAGCCCCAGCCCCTCCCCAGCCCCCCACGCCCCAGAGGGGACCCCAGAGCCTCAGCCTCACAGCCCCAGCCCCTCCCCAGCCCCCCACGCCCCTGGGGGGACCCCAGAGCCTCAGCCTCACAGCCCCAGCCCCTCCCCAGCCCCCCACGCCCCAGAGGGGACCCCAGAGCCTCAGTGCTCTTCAAGCCTGGGACCGGGTCCATTAACAAAGGCATGGGGGCAGAGGGTGGGGCTGCGGACACCAGGAGCCCCTCAACCTTGTGGGTGCCCTAGGGCTACTGACCCTGCCCCCAAAATGCTCTGGAGCTCACCAAAGCCTGTGACTGAGACAATGATGCACGCGGCTCCCCCAGGGCACTGGGTCCTTTCCTGTGGCGCGGAGATTCGGCCTGGCACCACGGATAGATTTGTCCCCAGTGAGGGAGAACCCCAGAAGACCCTGAGTTCTCTGCACTTACACCCGGGGGGGCGTCCCCGCATGGAGGACCGCACACGGATCCTCCAAGCAGCCCGCCGGCACGGCCTCACCTGTACGACACCCCTGCCCCAGCCTCCACCTGTCCTAACGGCCCCCGTCCCGGCCGTGCCAGCCCCACACCCCAGAAGACCCTGCGCATCCTGGCTCCCACCTGTGGTCCGTCCCGGCCACGGCTCCTGGCCGTCGGCCCTGCGCTGGGGAAGCGTGTGCGGTGGCCTCAGGCAGGCCCACGGGCTGCTGACGGGAGCAGAGCACTTCCCGCACCCGCCCGGGGCCGTGGGGGATTCCTGGGGGGAAGTGGGGTGTCAGCCGCCACGGCTGGCATCTAGAGAGCCAGCGAATTTGATGAGAACGAGCACTTGTTCTGAAAGCAAGCCCCGCCCTCCTGGCTTCCTCTTTCCCAGAGCCACGTCTCTGTGCGTCACTGCTGGCTGGCTGCACAGCACCCCCCCCCCACGACCACCCCGGTCAGGAGAGGACGCCTGTGCGATGGGCCGGCCGCACCCACCTGGCGGGGCCTCCACGCCCGCCCGCAGGGAGGCCGCCCCGCCTCGCCCCCCCCACCAGCCCCCCCCACTCCCCCCAGTCAGGAGAGGCCCGCCCCGCCCCGCCCCCCCCACCAGCCCCCCCCCACTCCCCCCAGTCAGGAGAGGCCCGCCCCGCCCCGCCCCGCCCCCCCACCAGCCCCCCCCACTCCCCCCAGTCAGGAGAGGCCCGCCCCGCCCCGCCCCCGCGGCTCCCCCACCCACCGCCCAGGGCCTGGTCTGGGTGGGGGAGCAAAGCAAGCCAGAGGAAAGGCTCACCCCACACCCCACGGTGTCCCCACCCTCAGCACAGAGGCCCCAGAGCCCAAGGGCAGGCCCTGCTGTCTGAGTGTCCTGTGTGCGCGTGTGCGTTAATGTGAGGGCAATGTACCTGCCAGCTGAGCATCACCTCACACCTGACATCACCTCCACACCTGACTTCACACCTGACCTCACACCTGACCTCACCTCACACCTGACCTCACACCTGACCTCACCTCACACCTGACCTCACACCTGACCTCACACCTGACCTCATCTCACACCTGACCTCACACCTGACATCACCTCCACACCTGACTTCACACCTGACCTCACACCTGACCTCACCTCACACCTGACCTCACACCTGACCTCACCTCCACACCTGACCTCACACCTGACCTCACCTCCACACCTGACCTCACCTCACACCTGACCTCACACCTGACCTCACCTCACACCTGACCTCACCTCCACACCTGACCTCACACCTGACCTCACCTCCACACCTGACCTCACACCTGACCTCACCTCACACCTGACCTCACACCTCACCTCACCTCACACCTGACCTCACCTCACACCTGACCTCACACCTGACCTCACACCTGACCTCACACCTGACCTCACACCTCACCTCACACCTCACCTCACCTCACACCTGACCTCACCTCACACCTGACCTCACACCTGACCTCACACCTGACCTCACCTCCATACCTGACCTCACACCTGACCTCACACCTGACCTCACCTCACACCTGACCTCACACCTGACCTCACACCTGACCTCACCTCCACACCTGACCTCACACCTGACCTCACCTCACACCTGACCTCACACCTGACCTCACCTCCACACCTGACCTCACACCTGACCTCACACCTCACCTCACCTCACACCTGACCTCACACCTGACCTCATCTCACACCTGACCTCACCTCACACCTGACCTCACCTCACACCTGACCTCACACCTGACCTCACACCTGACCTCACCTCACACCTGACCTCACACCTCACCTCACCTCACACCTGACCTCACACCTGACCTCACACCTGACCTCACCTCCACACCTGACCTCACACCTGACCTCACCTCACACCTGACCTCACACCTGACCTCACCTCCACACCTGACCTCACACCTGACCTCACACCTCACCTCACCTCACACCTGACCTCACACCTGACCTCATCTCACACCTGACCTCACCTCACACCTGACCTCACCTCACACCTGACCTCACACCTGACCTCACACCTGACCTCACCTCACACCTGACCTCACACCTCACCTCACCTCACACCTGACCTCACACCTGACCTCACACCTGACCTCACCTCCACACCTGACCTCACACCTGACCTCACACCTGACCTCACACCTGACCTCACACCTGACCTCACCTCCACACCTGACCTCACACCTGACCTCACCTCCACACCTGACCTCACCTCCACACCTGACCTCACACCTGACCTCACACCTGACCTCACCTCACACCTGACCTCACACCTGACCTCACACCTGACCTCACCTCACACCTGACCTCACACCTGACCTCACACCTGACCTCACCTCACACCTGACCTCACACCTGACCTCACACCTGACCTCACCTCACACCTGACCTCACACCTGACCTCACACCTGACCTCACCTCACACCTGACCTCACACCTGACCTCACACCTGACCTCACCTCCACACCTGACCTCACACCTGACCTCACACCTGACCTCACACCTGACCTCACCTCACACCTGACCTCACACCTGACCTCACACCTGACCTCACCTCCATACCTGACCTCACACCTGACCTCACACCTGACCTCACCTCACACCTGACCTCACACCTGACCTCACACCTGACCTCACCTCCACACCTGACCTCACACCTGACCTCACCTCACACCTGACCTCACACCTGACCTCACACCTGACCTCACACCTGACCTCACCTCCACACCTGACCTCACACCTGACCTCACCTCCACACCTGACCTCACCTCCACACCTGACCTCACACCTGACCTCACACCTGACCTCACCTCACACCTGACCTCACACCTGACCTCACACCTGACCTCACCTCACACCTGACCTCACACCTGACCTCACACCTGACCTCACCTCACACCTGACCTCACACCTGACCTCACACCTGACCTCACACCTGACCTCACACCTGACCTCACCTCACACCTGATCTCACACCTGACCTCACACCTGACCTCACCTCCACACCTGACCTCACACCTGACCTCACACCTGACCTCACCTCACACCTGACCTCACACCTGACCTCACCTCACACCTGACCTCACACCTGACCTCACCTCCACACCTGACCTCACCTCCATACCTGACCTCACACCTGACCTCACCTCCACACCTGACCTCACACCTGACCTCACCTCCACACCTGACCTCACCTCCACACCTCACCTCACACCTGACCTCACCTCACACCTGACCTCACCTCACACCTCACCTCACACCTGACCTCACCTCACACCTGACCTCACACCTGACCTCACACCTGACCTCACCTCACACCTGACCTCACACCTGACCTCACCTCCACACCTGACCTCACCTCCACACCTGACCTCACACCTGACCTCACCTCCACACCTGACCTCACCTCACACCTGACCTCACACCTGACCTCACCTCCACACCTGACCTCACACCTGACCTCACACCTGACCTCACACCTGACCTCACCTCCACACCTGAGCCTCACCTCCACACCTGAGCCTCACCTCCACACCTGAGCACCACTTCCAGACTTGAGTGTCACTTAGAGGAAAGGAACAGAAAGTGCAAACCAGAGACACATCCTCGGCTGGCTCAGCCAGGCAGCACCCTCCCACGGCCCGCCCAGGACAGGATGAGCAAGCAGCTGGTGCAGACACAGACACAAGGCCCCAGGAAGTAGTCACAACCAAAACCACTGAGTATCAAACCTAGCAAAGGAAAATCTATCCCGATCAGCAGCATCTCAGACCAGGCAGGGCCAGGACAGTGCTGCTGGCTCCTCTTCCTGGGGACGGTGGAGGCACGCATCCAGTCCTGCTCCCGTCGGCCCTGGAGGCGTCCTGGACCCAACAGCAGGCCCCCACTAGAGTCCTCTTTCTTCCCACGTCTGCGACTCAGTCCCTGCACTGCAGTACTGCTTCCTCTAGTGCCTGGCTGCCAACTGGGGTGGCTCAGGAGAGTGCGATCCTGAGTGGACAGCCTGGGTGGTGGCTGGGACAGGGGTGGCCCTGTGGGGACGGGATCCTGGGTGGGATGGGACAGGGGTGGCCCTGTGGGGACGGGATCCTGGGTGGGGTGGGACAGGGGTGGCCTTGGGTGGGAACGGGATCCTGGGTGGAGTGGGACAGGGGTGGCCCTGTGGGGACGGGATCCTGGGTGGGGTGGGACAGGGGTGGCCCTGTGGGGTGGGGATGGGATCCTGGGTGGGGTGGGGGACGGGATCCTGGGTAGAGTGGGGATGGGATCCTGGGTGGGGACGGGATCCTGGGTGGGGGTAGGGATGGGATCCTGGGTGGGGTGGGGAAGGGATCCTGGGTGGGGACGGGATCCTGGGTGGGGGTAGGGATGGGATCCTGGGTGGGGTGGGAATGGGATCCTGGGTGGGGACGGGATCCTGGGTGCAGTGGCCCTGGATGAGGACAGGTAGAGTCACCTCAGGTGAAGCAGAAGCATTAGTGCTGATGGGAATTTGGGGTGTCTCTAGACTTCTATGTGTATTTGCAAATCCCCACAATGAAAGTTTTTGAGTGAGCCTGTCAGCTGGGAGGCAGAGAGCCTGTCAGCAACACAAGGTGGGTAGAGATGTGCCCTGCCCCAGGCCCTGGGAAGGCTGAACCCAAACTTGCTGGACCTCCGTCTCCTCTGGGACCACCCCGTCCCCCCCAACCCCCCCTCCCCCCGCGTGGCAGTGAGAGAGGAGTGGGCGGGGAGTGGGTGGGGAGAGGGGAGTGGGCGGGGAGAGGGAGTGGGTGGGGAGAGGGGAGTGGGCGGGGAGAGGGAGTGGGGCGGGGAGAGGGAGTGGGCGGGGAGAGGGAGTGGGCGGGGAGAGGGAGTGGGCGGGGACAGGGAGTGGGCGGGGAGAGGGAGTGGGCGGGGACAGGGAGTGGGCGGGGAGAGGGAGTGGGCGGGGACAGGGAGTGGGCGGGGAGAGGGAGTGGGCGGGGAGAGGGAGTGGGCGGGGAGAGGGAGTGGGCGGGGACAGGGAGTGGGCGGGGAGAGGGAGTGGGCGGGGACAGGGAGTGGGCGGGGAGAGGGAGTGGGCGGGGAGATGGAGTGGGCGGGGAGAGGGAGTGGGCGGGGGACAGGGAGTGGGCGGGGGAGAGGGAGTGGGCGGGGAGAGGGAGTGGGCGGGGAGAGGGAGTGGGCGGGGACAGGGAGTGGGCGGGGAGAGGGAGTGGGCGGGGACAGGGAGTGGGCGGGGAGAGGGAGTGGGTGGGGAGAGATGGGCT